ACGGTGACCTGTGTGCAGTGGGGGTGACGGCGTCTGGTGACCTGTGTGCAGTGGGGGTGACGGAGTCCGTGGTGACCTGTGTGCAGTGGGGGTGATGGCGCCCGTGGTGATGTGCGTGGTGGGGGTAGGGGTGTTGGTGGTGACGTGTACAGTGGAGGTGATGCCGCCCGTGGTGACGTGTGTCACAGTGTCTGTGGTTGGTGCTGACAGTGCCTGTGGAGATGGGGCGAGCAGCAGCTCCATTGGTGGACATGTGGGTACTGCAGGTGATGACTAGATGGGGGAGCGTGGTGTGATGGTGAGGGGGTGATGAGTGGGGAAGGTGAGCACGACAAACAGGTCCAACGGGGGTCAGAACGGCGGGCGTCCTGGGTGACAGGAGGGTCCGAGGGAGGTCGGGACTGCGGTCATCCTGGGTGACAAGCGAGTCCGAGGGAACAGGACTGTGGGCGTCCTGGGCTGGAGGCCTGTGGGTGCAGCCAGGTTCCCAGCCTGTTTGAGGCTCTCTCCTGTCTGCAGCAGGAGCTGCTTCAGCTGGACCGTCTGAAGAACCAGCTCTCGGATGCCATCCAGCGCTATGGGGTCGTGCAGAAGGTGAGGCCCCTGTGGGTGCGGCTCCCAGGTCCTCAGAGCACCCATGCTGCCCCAGAGCTGAAGCCTGGGTCCATCTCCACGGGGTGGGGAGCTTGCCCTCAGGGCCGGCGAGGGAAGGGCTCTCTAGGTCTCTGAAGTGCTGCCCTGAGGACCTTGCTCAGCAGCCCGGGGAGGGCTGAGCGGGACCCCGCCTGATGGGTGAGGTGTCTGGGGGTCATCAGACCCAGGGAGCTGGAGGCCCCACCCACAGGGCCCCCTGCTGTGGGCGGAGAGCTTTCCTGAGCTGGCCCGGGGCTCCCTCTCGGGGAGGAGAAGGGACACTTTGCTGTTGGCTGCCCTGTAACCTGACGTCCATCTGACTAGCCTACTCTCCTGTTTCCCTTCTCCTGTGCTTTCTTCTACAGAAAATTGCAGAAAAGTCCAGAACACTGCTTCCTGCAGCCCAGAGGGGCGGCAAACAGGTGGGGGCCGTTCACTGCGCTGGCTCGGGTTGTTGGGGGGCAGTGTGGGCTCCATTCCTCTTGTGCTGCAGGGCGAGTGGGAGGGACTGGGGCGGGTGATCGGAGGAGGAGTGTGCTGCAGGTAAGCTGGTCAGAGCTGACATTCTGACCTGAGGTCTCCAGCACGAGGCCTACCTCAGGCTCAGCTCGGGGAGCCTGCCCTTTGTACAGGACTAACTGGCCATGGTGCTGCCCGTTGCCTCCTGTACGTGTGAAAGGTCCTTAATGAAAAGGGAGCGCAGAGGAGAATGACGCCTTGAACTGTGAGGTGGACAGAGATTTCTGACCATACAGCAGATGGCTGGAAAAATCTACCAGTCTGCCCTGGAAGGCGTGTGGGCAGTGCCCCTTAAAGCAGGTGGTGACACTTTGGCTCACACACTTTGGACATGTTATTGGGAAGGACCAGTCCCTGGGCAAGGGCTTCATGCTTGGTGGATGGTCAGTGGAGAAGGATGACCCTCTATGAGCTGTCTCGTCCTGGGGCTGCAGTAGTGGGCTGAGCACAGCAGTGACCGTATGGACAGGTCAGGAGCAGGAGGTTTCATTCTCTTTATGGGGTTCCTTGTCAGTAGACACTCCCACATCTGCAACGACGACACCAGTAAGAGATAACTTGTACCAGGGTAGCATTCCTGCCAGGACCAGCTCTCTCTCCCTTCCCTTCCCTTCCCTTCCCTTCCCTTCCCTTCCC